CCAACCCAACAAGAAGACGCCCTTGAGAGGAAAGAACCCCCACTAAAAAAGGAAGCTTGCATTTGAGGAGGAAAAGAGGAACCCACCCACCATATCGCTCAAAGTTGTCAATACCGTACCAACATACGTATCAATTTTGATACTGGAATAGTACATACCGGATACCAAAATTTTTCATGTATTGTTTTGAATTTATCACTATAAATATATAGTTTTATAAATTAAATATCAAATTTTAAAATAAGATAAGAGATGTTAATGTTTAAAACCATTAGATTCCTAAAAATTGAAAACAAATTTAAAATAATCATTTTTAGTCCCTCAACTTCTAATAAATGCATATTTTTCATCCATCCACTTTAAATTAAGGAATTAAAAATGTGTATATTTAGACAAACTTAAAAGAGTAATTGATAGAAGGACTAAAAAAAATATAAAGAATTGACTAAAAAAGTATATAAAAAAATTAAATGATGAAAATTATGTAAAATATTAAAGTTGAGGACCAAAAATGCAATTTACCCTTTTTAAATTTGAATTGAGTTGTACTAGATAATTTTTGTGTACCGGTTGATACATCGAAATACCGACCAGTACATCGAAACTTAATTGAAATAGACAAAATTTGACCAAAATAAAATTAAACCATATACTATTTGATTTAATAAAAAAATTGATACGTACTAACCATACCAATCGATACGGTATCAATAACCATAACATCACTGCCATCAAAAGCAAAAGTTTTCACAAAGGGAAGAGGAGAGACTTTGAAAAACATAGATGAAAGTATGGCTTTTGAAAAAAAAAATTCCCTCCAAAGCTTAAAATTTTTCTTTCGCCAAAAATTATGATTTTTTGTCTCCAAATATAGGCCCTGGAGATATATATGCGTTAAAAAAAATCATGAAATTTCATAACAAATAAGAGTTTAAAACTCTTAATTTATTCAATATTCAAGCTATAAATTTGTGATAAAAATTCAAAGAAAAATATATATCTCTTATTATATAACTAATAATCACATATATGAAAAAAAATGTAGTCATTTTTTTAACTATGGTAAAGGATGAGGTTATAAATGAATTGAATTACTCATGAGTTACTTGACTTTAACTCAAGTTGACTTGATTCTATTTGAGTTTGAGTTCAAACTCGAATCTTAACTAGAAAAATTGAGTTGAATCAACTTCCAATGGAATCCAAAATTGAACCCAACTCAACTCAACTCAACCTAACTCAATTTGGTTTTGATGTGATTTAATTTAACTCTATTAAAAAAATAATTGTATATATTTAATATTTGATATTTTATTTTTACTTTTGTTTAAATTTTAAATTAAATTCAAGCAATCAATTGAACTCACTAATTAAGTTTAAGTTCAAGAGTTGAGTTCAAGTTCAATATGTTTGAATTTGTTAAAATTAAACTTGAGTTCAATGTGAAAACTTAAGTCGATCGATTTATTACTGTAGCATCAAGTTCGAGTTTGAATAGTAAAGAACTTGATTCGACCCTACAAAACTTATTTACAACCTTAATAAGGGGGAATAGGTACAATATGGTTTTACGCAGATTGCCCAAGTGAATCCACATCTCATACATTCTCCATCATAGTCATAATGTGATGAATCACACTTCACAGACTATGACTTTGGTGTAGGTCATAATTGTCACCAAACTTTAGAAAAAAAAAATTTTCTTTGAACCAGCCATCATATCATGGTAGTTCAATCCCGAGCCATAAGTGCTTGGGCCTCTTGTTGGAACAGGTCTTCAGACAAATATTTTATTTGAGGCACATGCCTTCATATTATAGACAGAATAATAATTATTTTTTACTTAAATTTTATGTCAAAATATTTTTTATATTTTAACTGAAATAAATATTCTTTTCTTATTTTAACCTATTTTAATTTTATTGTGATCTCATAATAATTTTTATATTTAGTTTTATTATTCTTAAAAAAGAAATAAAAAAAAAAGAATAGTTCTTGTGATAAAATGATTAATTAAAATAAATAGATAATGAAAAATTATATTAATTAAAAAATATATGTTTATTTTAAAAAAAATAAAAAAAATGGTAATTAATTTGTGAGAAATTTAGAATTAAAAGACAACAATTATTTGAGGACGAGTTGAGTATTATTATGGAAGGAAGAAAGTAATTCACAGATTATAAGAAATAATAAAATAAATAAATAAGTGAAAAATGAAAATTAAAACATTTTGATATTAAAAATATCAATGCGTTTAGTCTCAATTATGAATGTTCACGTGTAGTTTGGTTCAGATTTTATTATTTTTTAAATCAATTCAATTTAATCGATTAATAAAATTTTTAAACCAATCTAATCCATTATTTGTGATAATCAAACCGATCCAATTTAAATCGGATCGGTGTATTTCGGTCGAATTGATCGGTTTTTAACATTATTAAATATATAAGATAATATAAAAATATTTTAACATCAAATAAAAAATATAACTATAAAATACATTAAAATCGAAATCAGTAAAAACATAATAATAGGTAAAAATTATAAACAAATTTTTATACTCTTTTACATTTGTAAAAATTGAAAAGTTTTGAAAATTCTTCTTGATTACATCACTAGAGGCACCAAAAACAATAAAAAATAACTTCAAATTTCTAGCACAACGTAAATAATTCTTGAAGATTAAAATTAGTTTTCTTTCCCTAATGTACTAATAATTTAATTTCATTTTCTAAATCCTACTAAAAGTGAATAACATTTAACACGAATATTACTAAAATTGATTAGAAGTATTCATAATCAAAATTGAAAACTTCTAAACCAGATATTCAAAAATAGTCGAATATTAAGACTAATTTTATTATATAGTTTTAAGATTTTTAGAATGATACTTATTTAAAATTTAGTTAAAAGAATCATAAAATTATTTTAAAAATAAATTAAAAATTTAGGATTTTAAAAGTAAAGGTGCAAATTAGTTATGAGATAGGATAATTATACATACACCCTCTCAATCAACACCCATCTCAACACCCAAGGCTAAAATGAAGATGGATAAATTTGTAATTTTACTGTTCATAAGCCTTGGGTGTTGAGATGAGTGTTGATTGAGAGGGTGTATGTATAATTGTCTTTTGAGATAATAGAGTTGCAGGTGAATTACAAATTTAGAATTAAAGTTAGAGTGCATAATTAAAATGGAGAAATAACTTAGGGAATATGGAGATGTTTTATTTTTATTTTTTAAAATTAAGTTAATAAAGTTATAATCTTGTAAAATGAGAAAAAGAAAATTTTAAAAACTACAAAAAAAAATATGTTATATTATTTAATTAAATTATCTTCTAATCGGATTTTATTTTATAATCAGGTAGTTCGAGCGGTTTGAAAGTAAAATTACGAACCAAAGCAATTATCTCGGTTTTAAAATTTTAAAATTCAAACCAATCCAATTTTATATCAGTTTGGATCAATTTTTAATTGAATTGGATCAGTTTAGGTCAAATCAATCGAATTAGATCGGATATAAACACCCCTAGTCTCAATCATATGATTAGTAAGATTTAAGTGATACTTACATTATACCTCATTCATCTTATGATTATAATTGAAGAGTCTGATATTCTTAATGGTAAAACGTCATGTTTTTCCAATCCTCAACCAAAAAAAAAAATCATAAAACCTTTATAAATTGAGCTAAAACCCGTAACTTATAGAAACATAGCAAAAAAAATTTCTGGTGATACATAGCAAACAAATTATACCCAAATACTGAATCGAGATGGCGTAAAAACATATAAGAAGAACCAAACAAAGTGTACACGCCTATAAACACACCTAAAATCCGATTGAAGAAAGCCACCAAACATAGCCAAAAACAGCTAAAGTGGAATTCATGGAGATGTCCTTGTTGTCTCTGGAAGCAGAAACGGGCATCTTAGGAAGATCATCTTCCCTTTCCTCAGTTGAAAATGATGGGTGCTATGAACCCTCTGTAGGTCTGTCTTTGCTTCTATTGGTTGTTGAATTGATGATGAAATGAAAGGAAACAAGAGACGGAAAATGACAAATATATATATTAACTGCAATAACGAATCACAATTTACAATGGCAAAGAAAAACAAAAATCAATGAAAGATTCATCTACCACGCGTGGTTTAGTAAAATTAGAATAATAAAATTTAGTATCTTTTTTATTTTATGTCATAGAAAACCACTCTCCTTATGTCTTTATTATTTTTATTATTATGTTTTGAATAAGTTATAATTTTTGAGGAGAGGGAATTCAAACTCTAATTTGAAGATTAAAGTACACTTTATGATAAAACGTACAATTATTGAAATACGAGATCTAAGTGAATATTTATTATTATTTTTTAAATAATAGATATTTTATAATTTTATATTCAAATTAAAGATTTAAAAATAATTTGTATTTTTGTTTATTTTACCATTTCAAAAAGAAATAAAAATAAAAAAAGTTTTTATAATAGAAATGATAATTAAAATTAAAGAGATATTTATAAAGTTAAAATAGAAAACAATATTTGTCTTTTTTAAAATATAAAAAATGACTATTATCATGTGATAAGTTCTAAATAAAAAAAAATATCTATTATTTTAGAAGAGAATGAATATCTCTTAACTCTTTTTACCATTATTGTAAAACTCAAATATAAGATCTTTTAATTTTACTATAAGTAAACTCTCACTAAACAATTTAAGGGTTATTGAATACAAGATCTCTAACATAATGTTATTAAACCTACTTAAAAATAATTTTCTTATTAATATTCCCTTTATCTCAAATAATTATCTCTTTTTACTTTCTATCAAATTAAAGATTTTAAAACAAATCATATATTTACCTATACTACCTTTAAAACAAATCTAAAAGATAAAGAAATACTTTTAAACCTAAAAAATTAAGTAAAAAAATATTTAAATTTTTTAATAAAATATTAATAAACACTAAAATAGTTTCAACCCTCTTTAAAAGATATAATTTCTTAACGTCTTTTTTAATTGAAATTAATTAAATTAACAAAAATTTGAGTTTTTTTTACCTAATTTTATTCTAGCTAGCCACATAGGGTCAATAAATACTTTTTTTAAATTTTTGTGCGAGTTGATTTACTGTAATCATTATTGATGTTTTAATTAAGATGAAGAATCCAAAAATTTAGGGTGATAATAAGGAATAAATACTAAATGCACAATAAATATGAATATTGACCACATACTGAGCATTGACTATGTCTTAACTCGGCCAAGAATGCCAAAAAGAAAAAAAACATATCTTAGCATCTCCTCCCATTTTCATCCCAAGTAAAATCAAGAAAACCTGTGTAGCAAGAAAATTCCTAGTTTTCTCGAGAAAATGACGAAGCATTGAAGGTCATCTACCGTTGGAAGAGAGAGAAAGCATTAAATAGGATTGAATTCAGTTGGGTTTCGAGTTATGGCAGCTGCCAACACATTTCTTTAATTATTTTTGTTTTCTCATTTAGGAACTTTCTTCCTCTACCAACTCTCTTTCTCTCTCTCGTCTCACTTTCAACGAATTTTGCAATATAAAATTCTCCGCCCCTCTTCTTTTTCAGAAAAAGACAATGCCACTTTCCTTTACTTTACCAGGAAATTCTATTGATTTTTCTTCAATTTTCTGTTAAGGGGACTTCTGGGTTTTGTTCAAAATTTGGTTTTGAACAATGGGTAACAGCTTGTTCTGTATGTCAAAGAAAGTGACCAAAGATGTTGGATCCAGGAGCAAGAGAATGGGTCGGTCTCAGAGGAAATTGATTGCAGAGGACGAGTCGCTGCACAGACAAGCTCTGGCTATGGCACTTCACCAGCACCAGTTGTCTCAGAGATTTGAGGGTTCCATGTCTAGAAGAATTGGGTCGACCAGCTCTCGAAGACGCAACCTCCCTGATTCTTTTGCTAATGGAAAACAGGTTGGATTTGATTGATACTGAACAATTAACTTGCTTTTTGCTTTCTTTTGACTTTTCTAATGTGCAATTAATTATTGTCTTAATTATGGTTTTGGGATGATCCGATCTGTGATGGAAAAATGGGTTTTGATTATTGAATGTTGGTTATGGCAAAAGGGAAAAAAAATCGATGATTTTGTTCCAAAGTAGGATTAGTCAATCGTCAAGCTCATATAAAAATAATGTTTAACAGCTCAGAAAGAAAAAAGGAGAAGGGGGGTTCTTTTGCTTTTGGTTGGAAAACCTAAAAAGTAAATCTGGAAAAGTATTGTAGCTGATTCTCTGTGCTTTTAAGAAATTTCTTATAGTTTTTATGTATTTGATATGGTAAGATGTCATGATACACACTTCATGCTATGATGTATGAAATGCTTTGTAAATTGTATTTCCTCATGCACTTACATTACTCTTTTGAGTATTTGATTAGAAGCAATTCAGAAGTACTTTAATTGTCCATTCTTGATTGTACATTGTATTATTGTTTGTTGAATTCGAAGGAAACAAGGAAATAAAGTGGTTTAGTCATAATTTTATTTTATTTTCGTAATAATAATGGCATCCCAGCTACAGTATGGAAATGCCTATAATAATAAATAAATCATTTTTTCATCCTTTCCGACTAAAATAGTGACGGGAACAAATATAGAGATTAGTCTTTACAAATTGTCACAAAGTTTCTCCTTTCAGATTCAAACATGATTCATGCATGCAACTTTTGTATTTTGGAAGGATTAGGATAACATTGTTACATTCTCGCTTCCTTTCAAAAGACTTTGATCTTGGCATATACGTTGGTTATTGGAGTTTCAGTTGTGTATCTGGTGCAAATTGTCTAGAAGAAATGTTAGTCAAAATTCTAACATATAATCTTGCTTCGTTTTGCTTAGAGATGGAAATTTAATTGTATCTACATGTGCCAAAAGTATAATACTAGTTCCCTATACTCTATAAATTTGGTTTGCATATGTTCTGGCTAAACTCAGCCCTAACCACAAATAACCTGGCCCACCCACTCCCCCCATCCCTCCGCTTTTCTTTAAGCTTCTCTTTTGCATAAATACATTGCAAAACCTTTTGACCTATGAAAGAGGATAGCCTTTCTAATAAAGTTATTCAAATACCATTTCACTAATTTATATGTATATTGCAGGTGCCTGAAATTTTGGAGAATATCAACTCAAAGAAAATCGTTCTAGTACATGGAGAAGGGTTTGGAGCTTGGTGTTGGTACAAAACTATTCCTCTATTAGAGGAAGTGGGGCTTCTTCCTACTGCTTTGGACCTTACAGGATCAGGAATTGATTTGTCAGATACAAATAGTGTCACTACATTGGCAGAGTATTCAAAACCACTGATTGTTTATTTAGAAAACCTTCCTGAGGATGAAAAGGTAGAAACACATTTTGTATTATCACAAGTTTCTGTCCATATTAGGGGAAACAAAAGAAAGAAAGAAAGAAAGAAAGAAAGAAGAAAACTCCTCCAACCTAACCTCTTTATAATATTTTGATGGATGAGGTTTATGCAGGTTGTTTTGGTCGGTCACAGCAGTGGAGGTGCATGCATTGCTTATGCATTGGAGCATTTTCCGCAGAAGATCGCAAAAGCAATTTTTCTTTGTGCTACAATGGTGACTGATGGTCAGAGACCTTTTGATGTGTTTGCTGAACAGGTCCTTTATCAATGCTTAATTCTCTGTTTAGAGATTAACATATCAAGCATTTATCAATAAATAAGAGATTCATGAGAGCTTAATATAATGCCTGGGCTAGTCTTCCAATTATTGCACTCAAGTAGTTGCAGCAAGTTAGCTCATGTAGCAAACTTAGCAAACTTACAAGTTCTTTAATGAAATGTAATTGTCTTGAAGCTAGAATATTCAATTTTAAGAAATAAGCTAAAACTTAAATTAATTTTTAGTTCCACTGGGCACATCATAGTTCCTTTTAGCTAAAACTGTGTTGAAGAGTGTACCTATAATGCAGGCTATCCTCTGGATATGATCCTTCCTAGCAGTTTTCTGTTTTCTGATTTAATGACCTCACTAAAGACTTCTTTGTTGCAGCTTGGTTCTGCTGAACGTTTCATGCAAGAATCACAATTTCTGATTTATGGAAATGGAAAAGACAAGCCTCCTACCGGATTCATGTTTGAGAAACAGCTAATGAAAGGGCTATATTTCAATCAATCCACAACAAAGGTATGTTTTAAGACTGACAAATTAGGGCAGTACGTCTTCCAGGTTTCTATTGTTTATTTATTTTTGGTCTCCTTCATTCCCAAAATCTCTAAATTTCGATAATTTATATCAAATTTGGGCTGTATGTCAAGGATTTATACTACCAATATTCTTTTCTTGTAACGAAATATTGGACTTTGTCATTGGATGGATTAAAACAAGTGCACAGAAAAAGAAAATGTGATTAGCCTTGGTTGTATGGAAGTGAACCAGAGACTTTTCCTGGACCTTGTATGTCAAGTTAGCTACTTTGTTGGCCTATTTGTTCAAGTACATGGAAATGTATATGCTACATTTAAGTTTTATTTCATTACATCCAAAGTGTCTAGGCATGTGTGTACTTAATCTTCAGCCCAAGCTACTTAATATTTTAATGGTTTTAGGCCTCAGTAACAGCTCTTATGATTGTTCATTTGTTTGGAATATATGCTTCAAAAAGGAAAGGCTAAGAAATGGTTAGGCAACGTGGGAAGAAGGCCTCTGCTCTACTCCTAATTGAGTGGAAAAGCTTGCGTAGTTTTGAAACCTTGACTGGAAAGATTGTCCTTTAAGAAACTAGAATGTTCACTTGTTTGGAATATATGCTTCAAAAATGAAAGGCTAAGAAATGGTTAGGCGAAAATAGGAAGAAGACCTCCGCTCTACTCTTAATTGAGTGGAATGCTTATGTAGTTTTAAAACCTTGACTGGAAAGATTGTCCCTTAAGAAGCTAGAATGACGTGACTAACATATTATGTGAAATATGTTGTTTGGTTCCCATCAATTGAAGTGAAATTTGCTTCCTTGCAGGATGTTGCTTTGGCCATGGTTTCAATGAGACCTACTCCACTGGGTCCTATGATGGAGAAATTGTCATTGTCCCCTGAAAAGTATGGAACTGGACGGCGATTCTACATTCAGACATTGGATGACCGAGCACTCTCACCAGATGTCCAAGAAAAGCTAGTAAGGGAAAACCCACCAGAAGGAGTTTACAAGATTAAAGGGAGTGATCACTGTCCATTCTTCTCCAAGCCACAGTCATTGCACAAAATTCTAGTGGAGATTCTTCAAATCCCTTAGCTTAAATACAGAAAACAAGGAGTTATTCTTTCTTTATTAATTTTTTTCCCCACAGAAGACAAGTTTTATTACTTAGCTCATATCTGGACAGTCCATTATTGTATGTAGAAATCTTTGGCCATTTTACCTGTAATTTATTCTTCTGCAATAAGGGTATAGTTTGATATTCTCCTGTACGTTACCAATTATTTGATCACTTTTTAGTTCAAAAATGATATAGTTATAAGGAAAATGAGTATATTGGGTGTATTTGTAAAATATTAGGTAGAGAAATATTTTAAGATTA